AACATACTCACTGGGCTCCATGTATGGAATATTTACCTATATTTGGTTGATTTTTGGGGTACATGTAGGTAAATATTCCAGCACCATGGAGCATATGGGATGCTCACTGGGCTATTGGTCTTCAACGGTAAAGGACATGGTAGGATCTTCACTTAAGAATGTTTTTGGCGCTGGTTTTTGGTTGTTGCGGAGAAAAAACATGGGGATTCAACGTTAACCTTTGAGGTTGGTGACCCAATAAAAGTTCGTTCAGATTTGTCCTTTCTTTATAATGTCAAACCCGGATGAGACTAGACCATGGTTTATTAATTAGGGGGGTACTCCCCAAATAGTCATTTCATCTGATACTTAAATGGTATCCCCCCAATCAAACAACCATTTGGGGTTTATTAATCCAGGGTTGACATTAGCTGGTTCCGGTAACCAACCCAAGCCTTGGCCGCCACTGAGTTCAAGACGGCGCTGACCCATGGAGCGCCTGCGTCACCTGGCGGAGGGGTGAGCTGGATGGAATGGTTGAAGCTACGAAGGGGGACACGACCCGACAAAATGTGGACGTTGGCCAAAAATGCCGGGCTGTTGATAGCCAAAAGAAAGAAGGCTTGTTGAACACAGAGAAATGCGTTATTTTGTTTTTATCATCAAATTTCAGTAGACCATTTGTTGATATGACCCATTGAGGAAAGGATGACTTCCTTCTAGGAAGGACTATTGTCAATGAGTGGTGCTATGCAAGAACTCCCAGGATTTCACACTTTGATCCAAATAAACGTGTGATATCAACTACCCAATAAAGGTTTACATTAATGGCCATTTCAGGATCCGATTGATTGGAGGTACCTACCATATATAAGGCCTATTTTTCAGGCCTAAATTTCAGGGAGTATCACCACAAAATATGGCCTTATATGGTACAGAACCTCCAATTTAGGATCCTGGAATTCCCATTGATTACATGATGCCCCAACACGAGCCTAGCTGCGAACCGAGAGCACGCAGACCATGGGATTTTCTCCGCACAAAGTTTTGCCCTAAACATGGACCGATTTCTTCACTGCCCTGGTGGCCATGTGGCATTTCCCAATCGTTTAGGCCAAATATTCCATGAAATCCAGATGTATACTCGTATCCAAAAAAGTGTGCAAACCACCTTGTCAATGGGAATTTCAGGAACCGATTGATTGGAGGTACCTACCATATATTTTTGGTCTATTTTTCAGGCCTATGTAAGTGAATATCCCCAGAAAATATGGCCTTATATGGTACAGTACCTCCGTTTTAGGATCCTGAAATTCCCATTGACCTTGTGAAGAGGCTCGGGGAGTCTACTTGGAAGTTTGTCCGTTTGTCTGCATGTGGTCGGTGATCATGTCTTATTATAACTCAAATACTATGTGTGGTCAAAGTCAGACTGACCAGTGAGTGTGTTGAACTTGACTACCCACGAAAAGCAGGACTGTTGCTTTCATGTTGCATGATCAAGTGATTTGTAAGTGGAATGTGTTCAGCCACACTCCAGCTACTAACAATATCCATTAAGTTTTAACATGGTACCCGCTAACTACCCTATATCCATCGCCTATTCTGTGTACCACTTATCGCTCACTCACCTTTTGACAAGGCGTTGGCAGACCCACCAAACATCAATTCTTGGGTCCTTCAACATTGACTTACGCCCGAGGATTTACCAAAATGGTGGACCCCATAATCAATGGCCATTTCAGGAACCGATTGATTGGAGGTACCTATGTAAGGCCTATGCAAGGGGATATACCGCCAGAATATGGCCTGATATGGTACAGTACCTCCATTTTAGGATCCTGGAATGACCATGACAAAATTTTCCATGTTTTTCATAACCGGGAAACTCAGGGTTTCGGCACCCCGATTCTGGGAAACACCCCATGCATTGATTTGGTTTCTATCCAATGTTGACCCATGTGTGCTTTTTGCTCCGCTTCCAGCACTCATACGTCAACGAGAAGCGGCAGGAATGGGAGGCGGGACTGATTGGCCGTTGGTTGTTGGCAAACGAACAAACAACGATTCATCATTCAGCAGATTGCCCCCTTGAAAACTCACTTAAGAAAGGGATGTAAAACTTCCATGTTCAATTTTCATGTGGTCTACACAGAACATGCTCAAGAATCTGTGGCTTCGGCGCCTTCACAGTTGGAGTGTCAGCAATGCAACGAGCAGTGCCACAACATCGACTGGTCCGATCCAGAGCATGAGGTCAGAATGGGTGGAAGGGGCTCGCTGGGTTTCTGCAGCTTGGACCTCGATATTTTAAATGATGGTTATGTAGAATGATGATTTCCCGATACCTTGTTCAATCAGCCAAAGTCGCGATTTCAATATGTGAAGAGATAAAACCAGGGATTCAACTGATTCAACCAATGAAGACTCGAGCCTCGGAGCTGGATTTGTCCAAAGAAATAGGGGATGCCCTAAGTGATGGCCGGTGATGATAAGAAATTCTAATTGGATGTGCCACATCTTCGGACAAACATTCCAGTCTTCGGCGGGACATGTCTACCCATTCTTTTCAGGAATGCTGGGTATTTGTGAGATATAAATCAGCCAGTACCCTCTGGTTATTTAACATATCTATTGAAAATAGCCCATAGAAATAGATGATTTACCTATTAACAATGGTGGAATTTTCCATGGCAAACTGTTGGTCATAACCAGATGGTATAAGTTGTTTATAAACCCCATGAATACTAGTTATATCCACCATAACCATATAGTTCTTGGCTATCTAGGGGGCACCGCATTGTATACATATGGAGAAATTATGGTTTGAACATAGGCTAGCCCAAATCCCATTGTTTATAGTGTACCCATAAACTTGTCCCTTTGGGCATCCGCAATATACCCATATTTGCACAAACCCACAATGTGGGGGCCCAAGATTAGCTGAGGTGGTTATTAACCCCTCTAAATGTGGTTATAGCAACTACTAAAACGTAGATAACCCAGGTCTTTGCATCAACCTATCTAATAAACTGGGGCCCCACATGTTTTTTTTTCATATGGAGCCATCACCTTGACTATTTTGCGCATTGAAGCATCCGTTTTTGATGCCAGAATCTCGCAGCTGACCAACTGGGTATGACTCAACATTTTGGTACTCAAAGGGGACGCTAAAATTGTCATGTTGGTATGCGTGATCCCATATATATATGTATGTATATATGTATGTATGTATGTATGTATGTATGTATGTGCCTGCAAACGGGGAATACCCATAAAATGTGTTTTTGTTCATGTTTATTGGAATTTGGGGTACACTGTTTTCAGGCAAGCCATTCGAAATAATCTACAAATTGAAGTATTGGAGGTGGCTGAATCATTGTATATCACTGTATCCATTTGCGAAACTAACCTCTGGTAATTTAACATTGCTATAGAACATCACCATGTTCAATGGGTAATTCATCTATAAGTCACCTGCTTCAGAAAAAAAAGGTAGGCGTTCTTTTTTTTTGCGGCCTGACAGTGCAGGCCCGATCCAGTCAAACACGTCAGGGGGGAATCGGTGCCAAAGCAGACTTCAGCCATGTCGGGTAGTTTGGGTTGAATTGCCCGACCAAAAATAGGTCAATTGGCTAAAACAGGGTCACTAACCAAAACAACCATGTTATTTCTTCTCGTTTACTAGTCCAGGTACTGTAATTTACCAGAGGACAGCAAGGATGGAATTAGAGGCAACAGACTGCTCATTTTGAGCGTCAACCATTCCCTACAATGTGTTTTTCCAGTTATACGTTGCTTTATAAAGCCCATTAACCATAGATATGTCTACCATAAATCTACTTAATATACTTAAATCTACTTCAAAGGGAACTTAGCTAACTGTAGGGCATCACCTAATGACAAGCAAGCCCTCAGACACCCTGGCGATGGATCTATTCGTGGCTTCCATGTGATACGAGGTTGTTTCTGAGAGGAGAATGAGGTTATACTTAGAGAATGGAAAATCAATCGTCTAGCTACAAGACTACTTTTGTATACCCTCTGGCTATTCAACATAATAGCTATGAAATTATGAAGCCATGGCCCTTTTGAAAATAGATGATTTATGCTGATTTACCCATTAACAAATGATTTTCAGCTACGTAACACATTACCAGATGGTAATTCACCCTGTGTGGTTTAAGATGGGACTGAACCAGGGACACATCCAACGGTAAAAGCATCTGTTTAAATTTGAGGCGATGTTTTGTATACGAGTTGGTTTATATAGACATCTTCCAATAAATGGTTGGTGGTTTGGGCCTTTTTTCCATTTATTGGGAATAATAATCCCAACTAACTTTCAATTTTTCAGAGGGGTAGGTATACCACCAACCAGATATATATATATATGTATATTTATTAAAACCCATTAAACCTCATAAAAGCCCATCATTTCACCCCATCAAGCAGTAAGGATTGGGGAGCACTACTTGGTGGCTCATCCCACTTAGTAAGTGGGTTAGTTCACCCCGGTGTTTTGAGTGGATTAACCCTACTTATCCCATGTCAATCACTGGGGTTATAACCCACTTACTAAGTGGGATGAGCCACCAAGAACCTTGTAAAATGTTCCAGGTTCACCCCCAGCGACCCCATCCGCCCTACGCCAGCCATGCAATTGCCATGAAGTCGATGGTCCATGTGACTACTGGCGCCCCTTGGATCGGAAAAGGTGAGGGTTGGATGCGAAAATCTGGACCCATCCTTACATGTATAATATAATATGTGTATATATATATATATATACTACAATATATATTTAATATAATATTTATAATTTATACTACATATTACATATATATTTTAATATTTGATATATTCTTGGATTTGACATATAATAGAAAATAAATGATATATAGTGTATGATGATTTTTTTTTATTATTTAATAAGATGTATATATATATGTATATATAGTAAATAATAATATTTTTTGTATTTAACATAATGTATACACAACATATATTTATATACTATAAGATATGTAATGCATATTTAATATTATACATAATATTCATTATTATTATTGTTTATATTATATTATATATATGTGTGTGTTTGGAGAATACTTATAATTAACAGAAACTTAAGACTAAAATCCTAGCTTTCCGTTTGAATATTAACCCAGGAATGAGATTTTTCAATGACCAGAGATTAATAAAGTGATGACTGAGGGATTTAACCAATTCGCTTGAGGAATCCGCCGGCGGCGACATTCCACCGATTTCACCGAGCTGTTGGGAGGTCCTGATCAACGTCGGCCAGACGTCCCTGGCGCCAGCGGAAAGGCTCCAACGGAGAAAATCGCGCGTGATATCTTTGAGAAGTTGCAGACGCGTTCTGCCCTTGGGCCAAGACACTTTTTGCAGATTGTTTTGTAAGATGGTATGACCGCGAGCACAGGAGCAAATGGCAAAAAGTGTCTTTGAGAAGTTACAGACGCGTTCTGCCCTTGGCCTGCTTTTTTCAAAGCTGTTTCAATGTGCTTGGGGTTATGGAGGAATTCATCGGAGCGTCACCAGCCATGCCCACAGGTGGGGCCTGTTTGTCGGTTAATTACTCTTTTTTGCATTCCACCCATCCATTCATGAACGCATGCATTTGTTCACAGACACACACCCCCACACACTAGACAAGAATGGATCATTATATGATCCGGCAGGAACTGAATCCTGAAACATGCAAATCTGATCCTGAATAGTTTCCACGTCCACGATCTTCAGCAAAATATGCCAAATACGTCGGCGACATAGTCGGCGAAATAATCCAAATAATCGAAAATACACTCGGCGAAATAATCCAAATAATCGAAAATACAATCGGCGACATGATCTCGGCGAAAATACTGAGGAAGGTTCTGATGCATCTAAAACAGATTGTGGCAACCGTGAAGAAATAAAACTATAGTGTTTGGGGTTCTGAGCTTGGCCCCTTGCTATGTCAGAAAATGCAGGTACGTCATCCTGGCGTCCCAGAATGATTTCACACTTCTCAACAGGCGTCTTCGTTGGCCTGAGTCCTGTTGAGAAGCCTCAGGCCCCCTGCATTAGGTTTAAAAAGGGAGAGGACAGAAGGAAGAAAAAGAGAGAAGTTTTACATCTATTCAGATGTTACACACACACACACCCGGCCAGAGCCGGGTCAACCCTGAAAGGCAAGAGGAAGAAAAAAGCGGACACACGAAGGGCAGAAGGCCAAAAACAGCGCAGGGGGGGGAGGGGAACAGACGGACCTCCGGAACCAACCTACACGGCGAAACGGACCTGACCAAAACAGCGCACACACCTAAACCCCACGACACATTACGGAGAGGCACGCGGGGAAATTAGGGACCAAATGGGGGACTAGTTGATGACAGACAGGAAAACCAAAACAATTAATTAAAAACAGGATTCAGTTCCTAAACCTAAAGGTCGTGCGTTGTGCCAATCCAGGCCCGTGTTCAAGTCAGCCACAAGGGCATATAACGGCTTTCAAGTTCCAGCGAATTAGGTGCACGATATGTTTCACCTCACCAGATAACCATCAAAAGAAAGAGGACCACACCTGGAAGTCGTGTGCCTGCCTGGTTCCTTTGTCATGGCATGATGCTGTGTCGCTGTGACATTGCTGCAAAAAAGGAGGTTTCTGAATGTTCAGCACGGCTTCACAGTCACAGAGGTGTATTCCACGAGGTTTCACAAGGGACCGCAGGATCAGCGGGACACTCAGAAAGCGGAGCAAAACGGAAAGGCCAGCTGTTGCACTTTACTTAAACGAATTACCAACTTAAAATGTGTTAATTCGGCAGTCAGGACAGTCATCACTCACCCTAAAGAGGGTTGCCTCAAATGGCTCCATGGCACCATGTCGGAGCCACCATGGAAATCACACTAGACAAGAATGGATCATTATATGATCCGGCAGGAACTGAATCCTGAAACATGCAAATCTGATCCTGAATAGTTTCCACGTCCACGATCTTCAGCAAAATATGCCAAATACGTCGGCGACATAGTCGGCGAAATAATCCAAATAATCGAAAATACACTCGGCGAAATAATCCAAATAATCGAAAATACAATCGGCGACATGATCTCGGCGAAAATACTGAGGAAGGTTCTGATGCATCTAAAACAGATTGTGGCAACCGTGAAGAAATAAAACTATAGTGTTTGGGGTTCTGAGCTTGGCCCCTTGCTATGTCAGAAAATGCAGGTACGTCATCCTGGCGTCCCAGAATGATTTCACACTTCTCAACAGGCGTCTTCGTTGGCCTGAGTCCTGTTGAGAAGCCTCAGGCCCCCTGCATTAGGTTTAAAAAGGGAGAGGACAGAAGGAAGAAAAAGAGAGAAGTTTTACATCTATTCAGATGTTACACACACACAAGAAAATGGGTTTGTTGGGGTACTTGTACCTCAATTTTTGGCCTTTTTGATCGTACCCTGTGTTTGGACAAACCTGCATCAACCAGGACAATTAATTAGTTTCAATTGTTGGTGAGGTGGTGTTCAAGGGAACCATCATTGTACAGTTGCTTTGGAAATTCCATCGGCTGAAATGGACTGTTGCACATGGTTGCATGTAGAGGCATAGAAACAATGTTTTTTAAATGAATAAGCAACCAAGGATGAAGCACTGAGTCTGTGAGATTGATGTTTAATTTCCGGGAAATGAGGAGAGAAAAGGTTGCTACGGTGTTTTTCACAATGTGAGGCATCGCAGCATCTATCAACCCGTGTAGCTTTGGAACCCCCTGAAAATCACAGACTGTGGTCAAATTGAGCATTGAAATTGACTACAAATCTTTATCCCATTGCTGGTCCCTATTGCTTAGAATAGACAATCTTTTTTTAAATTAATAAATATCCCAATTTCCGCTCAACCCATTAGTTAAATTTCATTGTTTGGTGTTTTATCCAGATATTCGCTGGTTCCCAAATGTTCTCAACCTCATTTTCCCTAGAATCCCTGTGTTTGACGGGCAACAATCACCATGTTTATCCATGTTTTGGCCTTAAAATCCTCCATTTTGTCGTCAGAAAACAGCAGAACTCAGGTCGTGAAGAAGGTGCCCAACGTGAGTGCATGGACGACTACTGTGGCAGGCCGGGATGATTTCAGGAGTTGTGGAATGGTACTGGGACGATCCTTCCAATCAGCAACTGTTGAAAATGCCTTACCGTAAGTAGGTGAAGTTCGGATGGTAAATGTTTAAACGGAGACTTCATCAACCCTTTCTTTTTTTGTGGGATTACCAATGATGAATCGGGGACTATGATCTGATAATATATGGGGGTTTACTAAATTGGCGGTACCTCAATAGCTGGATGGTTTATTTCATGGAAGATCCATCTATAAATGGATGATTTGGGGGTACCCCTATTTTGGGAAACCTCCATATGGTTCATATTAGTAACCTTGGTTATAATGCTTATCATCATTCTATCACCACTACCAAGTCACAATGGTCTATAATAATAGTGATCACTTCAGAATTGATACTTGATGGTTCGTCGATTTATTTTCTTTACATCAATGTGATTTGGTAAGTGACCTTATTCATTGCAACTATGACCATGATTAAAAAGTCTCCAATTCCTTTTGCAGATCCCCTATTTTTGATTGTAAACATCTCGTTTTCACGGCTTGGAGCCTCATTATTTATATGGCTCATCCCACTATACAAACTGGAGATATCCCATGTTTGTAGGTTTCAACCAATCCAGTTTAATCCAACGACAAATGGGTCAAGTTTGGATAGGTGGCTTCGTGTTTTGACAACCGTTAACATTGCTATTTTCGTACGGGTCCATGACTGAAATCTAAGAAAGTATATGTTCTTACACAGGAGAGTTAGCTGCGTCCAGGATTGGCAATGATATGAATGATATGGATATGTTTGTATACGGGTGACGATTTTTATTTGGTGATGTAAAGAGTAGTCTTTAGGCGTATTCCGGTTTGTCGATTCACCATATTTAGGTTGGAAAACGAGGTGGGAAGACCCCGAGAGCGAGCTAGGCATTGCATGCAAAGCATTGAGCTGCCAAAAACATTTACAACATTTGCGGGGTTGGAGAAAGAGGTCAGGCCCGTTAGGGGAATTGAGAAAGAGTAGGAACACTGCGTGGTTTACATGGTGTACCAAATTCTTTCCGCGGCTATCCATGCTTAAGTTATATCTATTTTTGATAAAACACCCACATATTTTGATTTTTATATACACATATATACACAGTAGTAAATATATATATATATATACCAGGTGTATATATATATATTACTATTTTTGCTGTAACTATGATTGGACCCAATATTACCATAAATGGTTTGCAATCTTCTGTTTAAGTTGTTGAACTGATGGTTCAATTTCAGAAGTTTCCAGATGCTGCCACCAGCATGGCATCAGGTACTGCTCGGGCGGCGAATGTGCTTCGCTGTATCGGTGCGGGGTTCTGGAAGGGGGAGGATGTGACGGACAGATGTTTTCAAATTCGATGGTTGTGAGAAAAAACACACAATGTGGAGACCCTTAGTTATATATTTTATACATATATACATCTTACATATATATATATATATACTTGGCACATATTTATATATGCATATATGCATATAGATGTATATGTTGATTTATAGACTTCATTTTAGCATAAACGGCACTTAACATTGTCTCCACCTTTTAAAGTGTGAAGCAAAATAGAAGTTAGAGGATTGCGATATCAAATTACTGGTTGATGGGGAAGGATGGTTGGCGTTGAACGTGTGGCTGATCACTTAGCAATTCGAAAATCCTCATTTCTCCATTTTTGGGTGGTCGTTTTTGAAGGGGATAAAAAACTCCACAAACTTCAGACCCCAATTCAGGTTGCTGAATCGGATGAGTTTCCCCGTCTTGTCGCGAAATTTGGCAGGTGGCAGTGCATCTACGCTGGCTTCAGCTTCGTGTCGAGCCGCAAGGCGAAAGTGGTCCAAGTTTGGGGGTCCAGGGCAGTTAGGGCAGTGGCCGCCGGCCCTCTCCAAAAAAGCCTGATTTCACTGGGGAAAATGCGCTAAGATCATGTGGGTATACAAGGGATGGAGAAACTGTGGCATCCAAAGACTACATCCCAATTTAAACCAAAAAAAAGCTTGGACCATTCGTATAGTGATATAATAGAAAATGTTGACATCTATTAGTTTACCCTCCTGTTATGTAAAATATTTGTTTTGGGGATGGGTCAATACCTATACCGGGGGATTAATATCCATTTACCGGCTAAGGTGAACAGTTCAGATGGATCCAGAGATGGTTTTTCATCAGTGCCTGTCCAATAAGCTTTGGGCAAAGATATTTGTTTGGTGAATTGTGTCTTTCGTGATTCCCCAAAGAAACGCATTTTTTTTGTGGAAGTGTTGCCCCCTTTCATTTATAGCAATCCCCTAGGGAAAACATGGAGATGTTGGCGGGTTTTGGTTGGGCCACTGCAGACTACAGGCACTAGAAGGTGGTGCCCCGGTGGACCAAATCGATAAGTTGACGCACATATTAATTTCTGGTTGGTGCTTGGTGGCGAACTACCCACTGCTCGTAAATGGGTGAGTTCACCCCAGTTTTTTGAGTGGATTAACTCTACTTATCCGATTTATAACTGGAGTGAACTAACCCACTTACTAAGTGGGGTGATCCACCAAGTGGTTTGGAACATGTTGTATTTTTGCATATGCTGGGAATAAACATCCCAACTGACTAATATAATATTCTTTCAGAGGGGTTGAAACCACCAACCAGATTTGGTTAACTACGCTTTGTGTGGGATATAACATGATATAACGAACTAGTATGCATAGGGGTTTACAATGCAACAAACATCATTTGGGGTGGCCAGCACCTTGTATGTGGCCAAACCTTTTTTGTTTAGCACATGAGTCTGGTGTTCTCCATGACGATCTGCGGCTTGATCTGATGATGGGGTCATGTGGATGGGGATGACAGATCAGGCTAAAGTCTCATGGATGAACATGATATCTGGTTGGTGGTTTGTATGTTCCTAATATATTGGGAATAATCATCCCAACTGACGAACTCATATTTTTCAGAGGGGTAGGTATACCACCAACCAGATGATATGGTGAGGATCATGATACTTCTGCTGCTTAGAATGGGGATCATAACTATGATAACAGTAGATGAGGAGTGGCGGTGACTTGGTGAGGGTGACATTTGCTGAAGCTCTGATTGCCGAAGATGCTATGAGGATAACTTCAGAATGTCGAGGATACTGACGATGATAGCTGTGATGCGGACGCTAAACTCTGTCTTCTGGAACCAGGGTCTGTTCCTCATTCATTAAATGTTCAATGTAAAGAAGGATGTACCCTCCAGTAAATTGACATAGACCCTGGCAGTTGTCGGGGTTGGAAAATTAGTTTCCATCAAAAATTGGTGATTTCCAGGGTCGAACTGTTAATTTTCCAGAGGGTATATCCCATTTCATCCCCATTGCTAGGTAAATCCCAATGAAACCCTATTAAATCCCCATTAAATCTCATTAAATCCCATTAAATCCCATTAAATCCCTATTAAATCCCTATTAAATCCCATTAAATCCCATCAAATCCCTATTAAATCCATATGAAATCCCTATTAAATCCCATTAAATCTTTATTAAATCCCATTAAATCCCTATTAAATCCCATTAAATCCCATTAAATCCCTATTAAATCCCTATTAAATCCCTATTAAATCCCATAAAATCACCATTAAACCCTTATTAAATCCCATATATATATATCGCACCCCGCTGATAGTCAGCAGTCGTTTGGTCTTGGCTCCATAAACCCGGGATTAGATCAAAAAAACGCAGAACATATATATATATATATATCTATGGGGAATCAATCAAAATAGAAATTGTTAGGAAATTGATGATTGTTAGTGTAATTTTTTCAGAACTAATGATCAATCAAAATAGAAATTGTAAAGTAAATATTGATCATTGATTGATTAGAATTTTTGCTGACTGTAGAAAATATAGCAATATTAGCAAATTGTAAAATAAACAATTACTGTTAATAAATAGATCATTAGTCTTAAATTTGAGGTTAAAAATGAAAATAGATCATAATAGATCATTAATATCGTAGGAAAACTGTAAGTGTTAGGTTAAAAATAAATAGATCATAATTGATCAAAGAACGAGATAGTCAACATCATTAATCTGGTTGGTGGTGACTGGAACCATGGAATTTTATGACGTTCCATTCAGTTGGGAATGTCATCATCCCAACTGACTCATATTTTTCAGAGGGGTAGGTATACCACCAACCAGTTATAAATTGTAGTATGTTGCATTTTCTTGGGCACATCAAGGGTTGTAGCCTGTTCGCGCCATGCCTGCTGACCGACTCATGAGCCTTGAATGACCTGCTATTTCTGGGTAAATTATATAAGGTCATAAGGGAAATCATCCCCAAATGGCCGAACAATTCAGGTGAGTGAAATATTATTTCATTCACCCATATGTTGATACCTTGCATCCCCATTGCTAGGTAAATCCCAATGAAACCTTATTAAATCCCATGAAATCCCATTAAATCCCTATTAAATCCCATTACCCCGCTGATAGTCAGCAGTCGTTTAGTTGCATATCCAAGTTTTTTTCTGGAAATCCACTTGACCTGTTTCTCACTGCTTCTGATTTGTCTCAGCGCGCTGCAGCGCAGGAAGAGTGTCTTTCCGAATGTCTCCCAGCTGTTTCAGCATGCCGGGGTGATTGCAATCCCCGAACTGGTAGACAAAAGGTATAGGTTGCTGACGGTTTAGTTTCTGTATCACCCTAATCAGAGAAAAAACATATCATTATCCCAGAAGAAGTGGAAGAAATGTTCTCTAAAGGAAGTCAACATGTTTGGATTTTGGTCGATTCCTCCAATTTCAGAGATCTCCTGACAGACGCGGATCGCCTGAGATTGGCACACAAGATCATAGAAGTATACGAGACATTTGACATGAGACACCCTACATCTCTGGATATCTCTGAAGGGTACAACGTTTCCTGTAATGTCATCCCTGGATTAATAAACCCCTAGGCTGTTTAGTTGGGAGGGTACCATTTAAGTATCAGATTATGACTATTGGAGGAGTACCCCCCTAATTAATAAACCATGGTTTATTAATCCGGGGTTGACATTACTGTAGATATATTCCCAAAACCATTTTGCCGGTCAGTTCCCAAAATTTTCGGATGGCTGTGATGCACTTCAGCCCCCAGCCTTAAGATTTGGATCGATTTGGGAGAGGACCACTACAAAGTGCTGCCCCCGAGTTATATTGGTTTATGCTCGCCCATCCAACTAGTTCAATATATCAATCTACCATAAGCCCAACATTTAGCCTGACATTTACCTGCTTAGCGAAGGATTGATGGATTGGTTGCACTGGCTTGTATGTTTTTTTTTTTGAGTCGTGTTGATTCCGGTGATTCCTGCTTGTTTTGCTAGAAATCATCCGTTGATTCCCGTTGTTTGACCAAGCTCTAAGGTTGATTCAGCTGATTCCCTTTTTCGCGCTGATTTCTCCCAAAACTGGACGCTGATCCAAGCAATTTCATTATCCATTGCTAAATTCTCTGCCTTTATTTCTTATCTCACAGTGTGCGTTTGTTTTGTTACTTGGTGGCTCATCCCAGTAAGTGGATTGGAACCCCACCTACAACTGGACTACCCCGACCTAGTTCTTTCATATGATTAGATATGTTACATCAAATATCCCCAGCGAAAATTCACCAGTTGCATATCTATGAAAATTCAATGGATTATCCCCAATGTTACATCAAATATCCCCAATCTTCTCCCGTTTTTTTAGAACTGCTTTCATTCTCCCCACCGTTTCCACAAAGAAGATCTGCTCGAGGTTCCGCCGCGGGTGGACCCAACCCGATTCCGCCCAAGAACTGCCGCGCGGTGTTGAACCCTTCCACTGCCACGGAGGTGCTGCAGTGATCTTTTTGCGAATGCGACCACGCTTTTGGGTGATGCATGGATTATGAATATATAATATATGTGTATGTATGTATATATATTATATTTTATTATATTATATTATATTATATTTTATTTTATTTTATTATATTATATTATATTATATTGTATTATATTATATTGTATTATATTATATTATTTTATTTTATTTCAATTTTATTATATTATATTATATTATTATATTTTATTCTATTCTCTTATATTATTATATAATTTACTATATAATATAATATTATATAATATTATATTATATTCAACAATTTAATATAATATTATATTATATTAAATTTAATATAATATTATATTATATTAAATATATATATATATATTAATGTTATATTATATAATATACACCATTGTAGTCAAATTATATATATATATACATATTCATACAGTATCTATATATAGCATTGGAATATTGTAATTTAACCAGATGATTATGAGACATGTATGGTGATTAAACCATTATTAACATGATTTGTTGTATGCTTGAACCATCAAATAAATTTGGATTGAATCGATTATGACTGACTGATAGATCATGGTTGATGATTTATAGGGGTTTGGTTTAAGCGAACACCTCAATCGGAAACATTGTTGTTGTTTTTTAATGTGAGGCCCCACCATTTAAGTTTTACATCCACAGGTACCTGGTTTTATATCACAGTTTTTTTTTGGGGAGTGTCCATAAATGGTACCCCAATAGCTGGATGGTTTACCAGTAGTACCGCACACGGCCGTGGCGGAAGTCTCAAAAATAGGAAACCTATAGGAGATGTTGGTTGTTGTGAATCACGGATGGCAGAGCGAATCCACTGATGGACCGAAAGGTGGTTGAGGTCTCCTCTCTTTCTCTCTCTTTCTCTCTCTTTCTCTCTCTTTCTCTCTCTTTTCTCTCTTTCTCTCTCTTTCTCTCTCTTTCTCTCTCTTTCTCTCTCTTTCTCTCTCTTTCTCTCTCTTTCTCTCTCTTTCTC